GTGCCTTTAATAGAGACTGCGAACTAAAGTTCTCAAAGTTCTGGATGAGTTTAATGAAGAGTTTAGAGAGGACAGAACTCTGACAAGTGTGTGCTATTCGTCCAATAGGTCAGACTACGTTGACGTGGCGAAGAGTCAATCCATCATTTTTGTTACTTAAATCTGCCATGATTCAGAAACTGTCGCCATTCAAGAATCAGACCTTCGTTGTTAAAGGCCACTGCCAGAAACAGTCGAAACCCACTTCTGTATATTGCGTTTCCATCCTGTTTGCTTGTTGTCGAGTAAAACTATTATGAATTCTGCACTATATCAATAAGTTGTTTCTTCTTTTTCCTAGCATGTTCCCTTTAACAGGGGTCTGCTAATCGAATCAACCTCCTCCACATTTTTCTACCGTTCGTTATATTTTCAGAGACTCCTCGCATTTTCATATCGTTCTTGACGACATCTCGACACCTTTTCTTTAGTCTTCCCATTCTTTTCTTTCCCGGAAGTATGAGTGCTTGGACCTGCTTAGCAATAAGTTATTTCAATAAACTAAATTTGAACGCTGGTTGTAATAATCATTTAACGCTCAGTGAGTCAGTTTCGATCACCGCATATCGTTTTGGGTGGCGAATAAAGACGAGTCAGTCATTGTCTCTAATGTTCCTAGTCCTATGCCGCAGTCTGAGCTTCAACAGAAAATAAGCTGAGTCTAGAGCAGAGTCTATCGAGACACTTAGTCCAGGTCATTCTTGTCGTCCCCGTGGTCTTCGATCGGCTGAGCAAGTAGTAGCTGTTTCACTTTCGTTTCTGGAAGCATTTGCAAGACGTGCCCAAACCATCGCAGCTGTGATGAATTTTTAATTTGCAGAAGCAGCGGCTATAAAACAAGGCTATGGGATATTTGTACTCCGCACCATGTCGAGATGCGTCACCATGGAGATTCATCTCAGAAAGCCCATTCCACCCACACTTCTCTTTGATCTTGGAGTCAACGATTTCGGCATCTATTTTCCAATATCTTTGAAGTCAGGATGCTTAAATGCTATAGTAATGTTGTCTACTTAGATGGCCCCATAAACTTATGTAAGTAAGGGAGAATCACAAGTCGCTGTTAATCTGGTGCTGGAAATAACGATTTCAGGTATTAACATTCTCTGGTGTAGGAACTCACATTCATCATGCTTTGCAAAATTACAACAGAATCGCGTATTTTCCTGAAACGTTACTGACAACGAACAAAATGTTACTCTAACCAGTTAAAAGATGCAGTGTACAGCTAGCACAACAGGAGCTCAAATAACGTGGAACCACTTAACACTTTAAATAACCTCTACCCCCAGGCCTCCCATCCTCTCATCTTACAAAAAGCGATGGGTTTGACTTTCGGAAGAATTAAGCGATCGAAAAAATTCATATCCAGTTTTAGTGTCTACTCACACATGCATTAAAATCGTCCATTTGAACGAAGGATTCCGTAGCTGGCACTTCGTACGGAACACACTTCCTCAATGAAGATCGCATGTTCTCCCTCCAAATTGGGCACATAGACCTATAAGAAGGTCAGCCTGTTGTAGCTTCAGTCAGAGAATTGCTACTTTCGCTGACAGGCTTCCGTTCTGTGATTCTACTAGCCTGAGCGCGCGTCGTCATGTCGACAGCTGATTAGAATAGCTTCCACTTGCTTTGGTTCAGAATTCCTGCGCCTGGTGCTTCGTTAACGAGAGTCCGACTAAGTATGGTCGGTAACTTTCAGACTCATCGGTTGGTTCTTAATTTTTCCCTCTGAGTGAGATGCTCCACTTTCTGACTTTGAATTCTCACTCTCGGTTCTCTGAGTCGGTATCGTTCCAGTTGGACATTATCTAACATTCTGTAATTAGTGGCACCTCCTCATCGTCCGCTTCTTCCTTTCAGAATGGGTAGCGGTTTCTTTGCTGAATTGTATCTTCATCGTCTTCTTGTTATTCTAGTCGTGGTGCTGTTACGCCCCCATCTACCAAAAGGCGAGAAGCGGGTTCTGATCGCGCCTACTTTTCTCAGTGTGCTTCTGTACCCCAACATCCTGTGGGATCTTTAATAACGCGTGCAACCACCTAGCTCGAATAATGACTGAAGCCGGCAATACCGTTAGAGGCAGGTGGGCTATGTTTTACGGAGATCTCTCCACTGTCCCGAAAATTGCTCCTTGCTCACCCGGGCTTGGGAGCGGCAACAGCGGAATTGGCAATTACTACAATGATTGGCAATGAGCACAAAATGATATTAAATTAAGAAGTCTGCTAGTCCTGAAGGACAAGTCCAGGCGCCTTCTTACCACGGAAAAGGACATGCTTCGGCGATGGAGTTGATACATTGTGTAACTCTTTAAACTGAGAAACCGCAGAAGGACTCACCTGAAGAGCAGGAAGCTACTGATATTACTCTTTCAGAGATTATGCTACAGAAGCTATAGAAAGCTTGATAGCTTGAAACTTGAGAAGTCTGCTACAGTTGATGAAATTCGCTCTCAGATGCTTGAAAGTTTAGGCGAACAAGGCATGTTGTGGCTAACACGTGTCTGGCAAACTGCACCGTGGCTAAGGGGATAATATCACGGAACAAGAGAACAAAGATTGCAGTATTCCTGATCAAGATAGGAGCTTGCTACAGTTGTTGAGACATTTCCTTATTGAATCTACCAAGAAACGTTCTGCGCAAAAGTGTTTGAATGATGGAAAAGCTGACTCAAATGTACAAGAAAAGCAGCGTGGCTTCAGGTCAGGGTAAAGTACCTTTGGTCACGTTCTTGCTCTGTGCCAAACTGTTGAGTAACCGTGGAATTCGCTCGTCCTGTTAACATCTGCTGTATGAACGTTTGGAAAGCCTCTGACTGGATCTCGCACAGGAATCTGTGGGCGTGCCTGGAAATATGTTTGATCGATGGCCAGTTCCTACGCGTTATCCTTTTACTATATGCTAATGGCAGGTGCTGCGTTTGAGTAAATGACGTTAAAGCGCGATCTTTCATTCTTGGCACTGGTCTCCGCCAACACTGCGTTATGTGCCCTCTCCTGTTTTTGTTGTACCTGGGTAGAATAATCAGACGGAGGCAGGGCGACGAAAGTATCAGCGTAGATGTGGAGACAACGTAGTCGCTGTTTGTGAATGACCCTGTTTTGTTGGCATCATCTGAAACTGACCTTTAGGGATCACTGGAAATGTTGCTGCCGAATGGAACGTGGCCAGCTCACGTGTGACGTTTTTAAAGCGAAAAGCCTCATGCAGTCCCGTTCTCCTACCCGCTGCAGTCTGCAGATAAACGTACAGTCTGTGGAACATGTGAAGAAATTTACGTACGTCAGGGTCGTATTTGCTTGTGATGGAAAATGGATGGAGGAGGTCGACTGGCAAATTATAATGACCAGCGGCGTTCTAAGTGAACTTTTCTTAACTGTTGTGACTAACGTATTGCTGAGTCTGAATACTAAGCTTTCTGTGTTAAAGTCGATCTTTGTCCTCGCGTTCATCTATATCAGTGAGTCTTGGACCATGAGTGACAAACTTCGGTATCGGCTACAAGGGGCTGAAATGCACGTTCTGAAACATCTTTGTGCTCAGGTATTTCGATGTGGTCCGGATTGCATATATCCACGACAGCTTTAGTGTGCAGCCGCTTCTTCACTACACGGAGAAGTCTCAGTTGCAGTGTTTTAGGCGTATCTTTCAAATGGTTCCAGAAGAGAAGGCGAAACTGCTCCTATTTGCTCGATTGACGAACCGAAGACATCGCGGATGGTCAAGACTGAGATGGAGGCAGTGTTTCGACGTACTCTTTTCTAAACTCGGTTTTTCTTCTGTCGAGGCTCAAACGGAGGCAAAGAATCGGGGGGCGCTTGAGATTCTCTATGACGTGCCTGCCTGTGCGACCAGA